GGAGCATCCGCTGGCCGGGATAGAAAGTGGGTTTGGTTACAGGGAGCACTCTCTGTGGGGGACTCCCCTGAGCAACATGCGGGCAAGTTAGGAGGACACCTGCCGAGCCCGGGGAAAGCTCCCCAAGAAGAGACTCGAGGAGTTAGGGGCGGATGCTGAGGGTGGATGAAAGCAAACCCGTTTGGGATGAGCGAGGACTCACTGAGAGGGTCTTGAGTCCCACAGACCATGCGGGGAGGAAAGAAAGGTCTGTTGCGTTGCTTCTGAAGCAGAAGGCGGTGGAAAAATTGTTGGGGGTCCCATAGTAAGAGGTGAAGTGGGCATTTTGTGTCCTGGTGGCCCTGTCCAAAGTCATTGCTCCTATCTGCCTTACTGTGGCAGTACCAAAGTTTCGTGGGTCTAGTAATGGAGAGAGGGTCGTGGAGGGTGTTCTAGGGGCATCCCTATTTGGGGATGATGATGGTGGTGGAACCGGTGGAGCCTTCTGTTGCTGATGTCTTGAGTGTCTGCCTAATTTTCTCCATATCCTTCCAAAACCTAAAGTTGGACCATAGATAAGGAAAGAAAATACCCGAGCTGGGTAAGCCGAGGTCCAATAAATAGAGTTTAGACACAGAAGACAGCCACACTGTGTCCCTTCCAAATTCTGTTTCAATACTGTCAACTCCAGATTCTAGAAGTATCTGGAATTGTTTTGGGTCAAGATGACCGGCTCTAGGAAGTTGATGTGTTGGACCACTCCCCCTCACCTGGAGAAAAGAGCATAGAGCCCGAGGGAGTCATATTTCTCCCAGATGCAGCTAAAAACTTCGGTTTCACAGTGAAGACATTTGACTTCCTGTAGCACAGTGAGCACTAAAATAGGAAGTGTTCAGAAGAAGGGAGTGCCCGGCAACTGAGAGGTGAAGGGAGGGCATTGAAGCCTGGGGAGCACTCTTGGGGGTTGCTGGAAGTACACAAACATGGAATAAAACAAATACCTTGTTAGTGTGGTGTGCTGAGACTGTAATAGCAGCGACCATTAATTACACACAGAGTAGCACTTACAGGGTGCCAGGCACTGTTTTAATTGCTTTGGGTCTCTCCTGTTCAATCATATGAAATTGCCATGTTTGGCCGCTTTGAACTTGCAAAAAATGGTACTGTGAAATGGTATAACTTACCAACTCACTGACCTTCACAACTAATGCATAAGGAGGGTATCCATATATCCTTGTTTCACAGATGATAAGCCAGGGCAGCAGGTCATTTATTAGCTGCTCCATAGCTAGTAAGGGGCAGAGTTGGAATTTTAACGTCTAGTGATCTAGTCCAAAGCCTTGTTCTTATAACTGCTCTACTCCAGCATCTCCCTGGAAGTTACCCCCTACGTTGGGTCTTTATATATGTGTATCTTAGCAGATAGTTACCGTATGTGTGCAGTCAGTAACCACTAGATTCTTTCTTTCTTTTTGGTTCCTTTCCCCAAAACCTTCATTTAGGTAAAATGAGAATTGTCAATGTGAGTTTTGTTTCTCCCTTTGTGTTTGGTGATTGTGGGCAGGGTTGATTGTTTTTTTTTTTTTTTGTTTTTTTAAAAAAATTTTTATTTTGACTTTGCTCATCCTTGTACCTTTTGGATTTTTTATTTTTAAAGTTTTATTATTTTTTTTTCAAGACAGGGATTCTTTGCGTAACAGTCCAGGCTATCCTGGGCTTGCTTTGTACGCCAGGCTGGCCTCTAATTCAAAGAGATCCCAGTGCCTCAGCCTCCCGGTGCTGGGATTAAAGCTGTGTGCCACCACTGCCCAATCTACCTTTTGGATTTTAAGAACTGTAGTAAGTTGCAAGAGAAGAGCTTTGCAGGACCAAATCATTGGATGATTGGTGTAGTCCTGGTCATTGTAACTAGTGGACTGCCAGGTTTTATTATCATCAGTACTGACTGGCTTGGGTTGCTGTAACAAGTACCACACCTGTTAAACAACAGAAATTAACTATTTGTTTGCCATTCTGGAGGCTGGAAGTTTGAAATTGAGTGTCTTTGGCTTACACATGACCATCCTTCCCCCACATTTTTATGTGGTCTTCTTCTCATATCTGTCTCTGTCCTCACCTCTTCCGCTTACAAAGTCATCTATCTCCAGATACAATCTCACATCCTGACATCCTTAACGTTTAGAATCTTAATGTTTGCATGAAGGATAGAGCATAGTTAATTCAGTTGCCTTTTTGTTTGTTTTGAGACAGGGTCTCACCCTATAGCTCGGGCTGGCCTCAAACTCACTATAGTCTAGCTGGCTCAGCTGGCAGGAGCCATTGGTCCTGACAACTTTTGTTATTAAAATGTTTCAGTTTATCTTTTATATTTGTTGTAATCTGTAAAATTCTGTTAGAGAGGTAAATATGCATAAGTAAAATGGGCCTTTGAGAGTTCTGACTTGTCATAGATTAAAAACTAGCTGGATCTGAGCACCACCTCATAACATTTCTTGTATTTGGAAGGATACAGATGTCTTTTTGAGAGAATCAGGTGGTGTGCCACTCAGCAGTCTCAGTGCCGGGAAATGCTGTTTGTATTCATGAGCTTGATGTGCCTGTGTGACTCAGTGGCTGATGATGGATGGTGTCTTGCAAGGGTTAGTGATTTTAAGACGTCAATTGCCATTGGGAAATGGTGTAGTGCAAGGCCCAGGGTGCATTCCTGGAATGCTGGCCATTCTTGTGTCGGCTGACTTGGGATAGGAACATCACCAACATTTGGTGTGTGCAATTGCACTTATTGGCGGGGCCTGTTCATTACAAGCAAGAAAAAACTAGTCACTTCTGAATGAATATCATCCTACAGTTCGCCAAAGTCACACCATTTGGGTAATAGTCCTCGTCCTTGAAGACTCAGTCACTTAGCAGATGTTTCATAGAAATTTTGTTTGTTGATAACCTACTAGTTAGCATTTTTGGTGAAATTTTATTGAGTCAGATGTGGTGGTACGCACTTTTAATCCCAGCATCCTGGAAGGCAGAAGCAGACGAAACTCTGAGCTTGAAATCAACTTGGTCTCCAGAACCAGTTCCAGGACAGCCAGAGCTACAGAGAGAAGAAACCCTTTCTCACAAAAAGACAAAGAAATTCTATTTTGATAACACAGAGAACACAGAGATTGCTACTCAAGGCTATGTGATTGTCACACCTACATTGGTTGATCCAGTTAGCAAATATTTTCTGACCATCTTTGTTATTTGGCACCAGAGTTAGTAATGTTTCTTTAAATTTAAAGTGTTTTAAACATTCTAGATGCAAAACAAAACTCTCACATAGGTTGTTTAGAAGGCGTGTGAGCAGTTGTTTAAAGTCAGTCTGAGTGTTATCGAGTCTTGCAACTGTCTCTTAGGACCAAGGCAGTTTCCTTTGTTTCTCTGTGGTTTCTGAAATAGCAACTTTGGCTTTTGTTAAGCTGCTAAGAGTCAACACTTGAAAGAGAATCAGACCTCCTCTATATAAGCTGTGTATAAGAGTTTCTTCTTGATGAATGAGGTATTGTCCATTGTTTATACAACTATGATTGGGGATTTTACCAAAAAACCCTGGCGTAGGAGCTGTTCACTCTAATTTCTGAGATCGTAGAAATATTGCTTCTGAACTTTAAGGGGAGTTTCACTTCAGCCCTATTGTCTTGAAGCTGGGAGTTTTTATGAGGTCATTGGGATTTTAGTTGTAGGATCTTTTGAGTCTTCAAATGTCAGTGTAGTCAGTGTGTTTTGTTGCTCTTCACGTCAAGAGCCACACTCTGCTTCTCCCTTTCTGTATAAAGCTCTTCAGGGCCGCCCCTTTGAGGTCAGGGCTTATTGGTAGTTGGTTGCACTCCATGTGGTCAGGCTTTTTTAAAAATTTTTATATTCTTCTGATTTTTCTAGTTTTATTTAAAGTCATTTCTTTTAAGAATTGAAATTGTTTAGCTACTACAGCTTTCTTCTGCACAACAAATTTATAGTGTGACTGCTTCCATATTTCACCATTTCCTGAGCTGTCTTTTCTTTGTTGTCTTTTGTAGCTTCAGGAAACTATTGTGTAGAACACACACACACACACACACACACACTCCCTCCTCATCTAAAGCCTGTTAATATGTTTTATTAGAGGTCTCAGGATTTTAAATTTGAAATGTTGCTTTTTAACCTCTCCAGTTTATTATGATTGTCTAACATTGCTGCAAAGTCTGAGCTGTATAGAAATAGTGAGTGACCCATTTGATTCTTAGCACTAGTGAAAGGTTCATGGCTGATCATGACGGAAGGGTCTTAGTGATATTGTTAAAACTCCTTGCTGTTAAGTCAGTTTGTACTTTTGGGTCTGTATAAATGTCTGCTTTCTACTTCCTGTTTCTGTGTTACCTATAGAACTTTGTATAGACAAAATGACCAAAACTTTGCCAGTAGTCCAATTCAGACTTAAATACACAGCTTTACATTTAAATGTCTTTTTGAAGAGATAGCTATGCCATTTAAATTCATAGAAATAATTTACCTGATGTTTGGCTCTATACTATAACATTTCAGTCACACGATGCTTGTTTTCCATAGAGAACTTGACTGTTTTGAGGTAGTCTGAACCACTATGGACAGTTTCTCTCGATAGGAAATTCATACATCTGTTGAGTTGAGATTTGATTCTTGGCAGCTCTTCATGTTCTGGTCTACAATGTACTTATGGGTGATCCAGCAAAAGTATAATTCCTCCCTTGAGAGAGCCAGGGATGGTGGTGCACACCTGTAATCCTAGCATCTGAGAGACTGAGGCAAGAGGTTTGTACGTTTGATTCCAATCTTGGTTACAATAGTGAGAGTCTATCTTAAAAAACAAAACAAAACAAAAAAACCCTCTTAGCTTGTCTTTACCTTTAGTAGTAGAGAAAGTAGACTTTGTAGAGCAGTTCCTAGAACAGTAATTGTAAAATAAACAATGTACTTTATTTTTTAGTTTCAAGTAAGATACATTTTATGTTTTATTTCTTTATTCACAGGCAGCTGAAAAAGTTGGATGAAGATAGCTTAACTAAACAGCCGGAAGAAGTGTTTGATGTCTTAGAGAAACTTGGAGAGGGGTGAGTATAGATAGAATATGTGCAGACTGGTGCTCCCAGTCTTTCTCCTGGCCTGCTAACTGAAGGATGTGAACCTCTCATGGTGTCAAGTGCAAGCCTGCACAAAAGGAAGAATGGCCCATATCAGCCCACACCTTCAATCTCATCATTTAGGAGGTAGATGCAGGCGGATCTCTGTGAGTTTGTGGCCATTTTGGTCTATGTGGCAAGTTCCAGGCCCTTTCTCTTACTCAAAAACAAAAACAAAGACAACAAAACAAAACAAAAAAATTGGAAAGCAAAAGGAGTTAGACATAGGCAATTTTATATACTGAGGGGTTGAAGGCATGCACCATCATGCTGGGCTACATCAAGAATTTCTTATACTTCTACATATTCTTTCAGTTTAATTCTGTGTATTTATTGCTTCTTCTATAATAAGTACATTAAAATACTAGGGATACCTTAAGTGTTTAACTTTTGAATAGATAATACATTCATATGATTCAGAGATAGTTAATGTGTATGTAAACAGGCATTGTATGTGACATTTTAATCCCTCCAGAATACCTCTGACTAACGGCTGACTGACTGTGTACTTCTTTCTTTTTCTGTGGTGTTAGGGATTGAGCCCAGGCTCACACGCATGTCAGGCAAGTGTTCTGCCTGAGTGAAGCCTCCCTTCCCCTCCCTGCTTGAGAGTTTAGTATTATTATGTTTAAACACAGACCTGTAGTAATGACAAGTGCAATTCTGGATTACATGGAATAGATTTTCATGGATTACCTCCTTGTTAAAAACATTAGTCTTCAACTTTCTGTCAGTTGAAAAAGTACTCTGGGATTCATCAGAAAAATCAAGCAGAGGAAGGAAGGAAAAGAACATGAGCTGTGATGCTCCAAGACAAGCCCAAGACGGTGGAACCCTGCCAGTTGAATGGCATCAGTAAAGGTATGAGGTGGTGGCAGCCACTCTGCATCTCTTGTCTGGGATCTGTAGCTTTAGCTTGGCATTTCTACTGAAAGTGATTAGTCCATGCCCCTTAATCTAATATGATATACATTGGTGGACATAATTACATATGTGATTAACTTAGTGTTTTTTTATTTCTAATAAGAGCATGTTAGAGTAGTAAAGAACTCACACACCGAAGTCACACAGACCTGGGTTTAAAGCCTTGATATCCTATTTATTAGCATAGCAGATGGGCTATACTCTCCACTCTCACAGCCTTCATTGCAAAGCAAGGATAATAACAATGTCTGTTATGTGGTGTCATAGAAAGTATTGCATGAAATAATAGAGATGTAAAGTACTAGGTACAGTGATTGTCACAAACTCAGTAAGACACACCTGTTATTTTGTGTATCAGCTGAAGCATTTTTCAGACCTATGTCAAATCAAAACTAAATCTTAAGTCTTCAAGTACAGTTAGGTGTTCTTAGCAGGGACCCTGCTTGCTGTAGGAATTATCGAACTTGTAGGCAGAAAATATCAGATATATAATGTGGGGGAAAACAAGCTAACTGTGTTTTTTCTTCTTCTTTTTTTATTGTGTTTAGATGCAGATGTATTCAGCAGAGAACTTGGGAATTTCCCTCTAAAGATCCTCTCCTGCTTTCATCTCATTGAACTTTTAAATGACACTACAGACACTTGGATTTTTGTCATCCTGACCTAATGAACCTGGGCAGGTTTCATGGAACTAGCATGATCCTGCAGAAGACCTTCCTTACCTGTGCTACTCTAATACAAACACCACCGCATCTTCAGATGTTCCTTCAGTGAATGGATTATGAATTCTCAGTGACTTGTGGCTTGTTTTCCAAGTGAGCTTGTGCTGAAGAACCATATTTGGTTCTGGAGCTGTTGTCATGCTGTTGTGAAGAAGTCATGTGTCTCTATGGCAGGGCAGAGTCACAACTTGAACCAAGATGAGCGGAGAGCACCTGGGATATTTAGAAAGGAGCCTAGCATCCTTTTGCTTCTGTTACTTCCAAGTTTTATACATTTGCTCCTTTAATTTTTTTTTTTTGAGCTACATTCCAAGTCTTCATTTAAGTTTCTATCGTAAGATAGTAACAAATTGTTCCCTTCGTTCCATAGCTAGTGAGTGCTGTTGACTAGTGAGACTTGTGCCTGTTTGTATTGGCCTTCAGATACTGTTTATTTCCATTTTTTTTTTTTTTGCATTCATCCCTACTTGGACGGTTATGTGAAACAGCCACTTGATTATGTTCATTCTCTGAAAGTTAAACTCACCAAATCATTGAGTTAGCATTGTAGCGAGTCAGGTCTTATGTGGATTATTAGCTACTTCTATTGCTTTAATGGGATATCTGATGGGAAACAACTTAAAGAAGGAATTGTCTGAGTTTGAGAGTGTGTAGTCAGTCCAGCATGGTGGGCTGGCACAGAGTGCAGCTGTGGCAGTGGGAGCATAGATGACACCTGGGGGACTAGATAGAGGGAGCTTTAAGGTGTGGTATAAACCTCAAGGTCACCCCTCACCTGCTCACTTCCTCCATCTTGGCCCCACTTTACAAAGGTCCCCAGCCTTCCAAAAGGGCATTGCCTTCTGGGGACCAAGTGTTTAAACACATGAGCCTGTTAGGGACATTTCACATTCAAACTATAACCTTGGGCGTGATTGTCAAAGCCTACCTCCTTCAGATTATGATCACTGTGGTATGTGGGATCTTGAGTCTTTGCTCATTGTTCATCTGATTTGTTGGAGTTTCTTTGCTATCAGGATAGACGGGGGCTTGAGGGTAGGGATACTGTCATGATTACCAAATAAGTCCACTTGGAAGGCTTTTCATTCCTAATGCATAAGAATAACGAGTGAAAATTCTATTGAATATTTAATCATAGGGCAAAGGCATCAGCTTATGTGGTGAATCAACTATAGTAAAATTGTAGAATGCTAAGACTCAGAAAGCTATGGAGAGCTTATCTATGAAGAATATTGCTCTAATGAAAGCAAACTTTGGGAAGCAGTAGCTGTGGGAAACTGCTGTTCCAGTGCCAAGGGAAAGGAGAGTTTTGCACCCAGCAAAACTCATTACAGCATGAAGATAGCTTTGGACATACGAGGCTAGTATTTCAGAAAGGCCTTTCGATGGCAGTAACAGAACACCTAGTGGCTAACTCTGACGGCATTTAGTGACAAACTAATAAATCTCCCACAAGTGGGTAGTTGGTTTATTAACGGTTGGTCTGGGCAGTTCTTATGGTCACAAGATGGTTCTATCAGTTTCAAGTGTCATCTTGACAGTAGCCAAAGCAAGGAGGAAAGTGACATGTGAAAATGGACAGCCCTGTGTGCTTGTCTTGCCCGGGAAGAAAGTCTTCAGAATTCTAGCCATACAGTGGCCAGATCTTGCTGCTGGTTCAGTCACTGGCAGAAGAGAAACGGAGTGCCATGACTGGCAGGATGGTTTTCCCGAGGGCTGGCACACTGCTATGCTAATTGAGAGTTATTTAGCAAGGAAGAAAGAACAGTGGCTGGTCTTCTACACATGCTCAGTAGTTATTTTTCTGTGGTAAAACAGTATTTGAAACTCTTTGAGCATCTTTTTATTCTTTTTTACGTACATGGGATTCAGATAGAACTTTATGTGTACTCTACATTCATAGATATTTGGTTAAAGAAGTTTTTAAAATCTGTTTTGACATTGAGATAATTCCTTTTTGGCAGTGAGAAATACTCTGTTATTTTGACATTTTAGTTCACATCCTTTACTTTGATTTTCTTTTCACCAAGATAGTACAAAGAAACAGGTGTGTTTGGGAAATTTATTTATTCTTTTTGGTTTTTCAGTCTTTTGAAACAAGGTTTCTCTGTATAGCCCTGTCTGACCTGGAACTCGATCTGTAGACCAGGCTGGCCTTGAGCTCACAGAAATCCACCTGATTCTGTCTCCCAGGTGCTAGGATTAAAGGTGTGTGCCACTCCTGCACTGGTGTGTTTGGGAAATTTAAAAATTGATTTTCTCATATTTCACTGAGAGCTGCCCTGGACATTAATGAAAAAAAAGGAGCACCATAACCCACTTGTAAGGGAGTTTGTAGGTCTTTTTTTCTTTTCTTTTCTTTTTTTCTGTCATGTTGTGAATAAGAATTCAGGAACAAGAGAGCTAACTCATGTTTTTGTAACACTGTATAGTGGTGGTAGGATGCAGTCTTCTGTCTTTAGATTCTAAACCTAATGTTCTTGTAGCACCCAGATTGAATGAACATAGGACCTTGGTTTTGATGAGAAGCTTTTCAGGGAAGGTGAAACAGATTTAGGGAAGGCAAAAAGATTTTCATATGCACTGTTCATGTGATACTAGTATGAAAGAGGTTCAGGTCTTCATGAGTTTGCATATTTTAAACATTGCAGCATGTAGAGGAGTAAGGACAGAAAGACTGATAATAGAGTGGCTGTAGGGAAACAGACACGTGTTATTGTGTTGAATTGGAGAGAAAACAAGCTTTGTGTTCAGTCTACATGGGTTTAGATCATAAGCTCATCACCTTATGTGACTTTGGGTAAATCATATGACCTTTCTAAACTTTTAATTTTTACTTGTAAAATAGTCACCTCTTTGTCTTTAAAAAATTTTTGTTTTCAGATATTAGGGACGGTGCATGCACGCTGTTACAGTCATTTGAAAATTGTAATTATCAAATAGACCTGATAACTTTTTTGATGCTGGGGATTAAACCTAGGGCCTTGCTCATGCTAGATGAGTGCTCTCCCAGTGAGCTACACCCTGGCTCCCAAATGTGAAGGTTTTTTTTTCCTGAGACAGGGTTTCTCTGTATTGTTTTGGTGCCTGTCCTGGGACTAGCTTTTTAGATCCACCTGCCTCTGCCTCCCAAGTACTGGGATTAAAAGCATGCGCCACCAACGCCTGGCTCAAATGTGAAGTTTTACGGTGCCATTTTCCCCCCCAGGTACTTAAGGTGTCTCAGTTTTGCAAGCTTGTAAGCATTAGGTACTTGGGATAGAAAGTAGTGTAGGTTGATTGTGCTAATCTGATCTTTTGTCTCGGTGCTCTGGCTTTACATAAGTGGTCTCCTTTCCCAATTGCAGGTCTTATGGCAGCGTGTACAAGGCTATTCATAAAGAGACTGGCCAGATTGTTGCTATCAAGCAAGTGCCGGTGGAGTCAGACCTGCAGGAGATAATCAAAGAAATCTCCATAATGCAGCAGTGTGACAGGTAAGGACACGAGGGACTCTTTGACAGAGTGAGCTTCTGCGTTTGCTGTGATCATATAGTTTGACACCTATAGATTGAGATGTTTGCAGAAGGGCGAGGTCAGTGAGGTCACTGCATATTTTCTGAAAAATATGAGAAAGCTTTATGTTTGTAGATAGTTTATCATTTTTGCGTTTTTTTCCTCCATCAGTTAGCTCTCTTAGAGATGAGGAAGAGGCAGACAGTGGCTTGTTCTTCCTTGCTCGCTTTCTCTCTCTCTCACTCACTCACTCACTCACTCACTCACTCACTCACTCACTCACTCACTCACTCGCTCGCTCTCTTACTTTCTTTTGAGAAAATTTTCTGCGGAGATAACTGAGATAATTCAAATGCCTTTTAGCCCCAGAAACCATAGACTATCAGATTGGTCTATAAGAAGGGAATGTTTGTTTAGGTATCAACGGTTCTTTTTATTCCAGCTGAGACTTCTTTTTTTTTTTTTTTTTTTTTTTTTTTATTAATATTTTTTTATTTTCCATTTTAAATTTAGATAAGAAACAAGGTTGCTTCACAAGTCAGTACGAGGTCCCTCTCCCTTTCCCTCCCCTCCTCCCGTGCCCTCCCCCCATCCCCCCCCGTTATCCCCTCATTCCCCCAGGGAGGGTGAGGCCCTCCATGGGGGTGTCCATAGTCTGTCATTTCATATAGGGCAGGGCCTAGACCCTTCCCCAAGAGTTCAGGGTGAGAGTGCACCTCACATTGTTCTATGGGAGTCCAGAGACCGTGTGTATACTTGGGATGGGTACTGATCTGCTGTCCAAGGCTCAATAGATTACCTAGGCCTCCTCACTGACACCCAGATTCAGGGGGTCTTGATCAGTCCCATGCTGGATTCCCAGGCTGATGCCTGGGATTCAAGAGTTAACCTTTGTCTGGTCAGCTGTTTCTGGGGTTCAACCAGCCCAGTCTTAATCCCTTTGATCATCAGTCCTCCTCTCTGATACTGGCTTTCTTGAGTTCAGCTCAGTACTTAACCAGCCAGTAAATGAAGTTTCTGTTTCCCAGACTCTCTGGCAATAGGATTGTAGGCTGGCACTCCCCAGATCTATGTCTAAAATCCATATATGAGAGAGTACATGCCATGTTTCTCTTTTTGTGACTGGGTTACCTCACTCAGGATGGTTTCTTCTAGTGTCATCCATTTGCCTGCGAATCTCATGATTCCATTATTTTTTTCTGCTGAATAGTACTCCATTGTGTAGATGTACCACATTTTCTCTATCCATTCTTCGGGTGAGGGACATCTAGGTTGCTTCCAAGTTCTGGCTATTACAAATAAAGCTGCTATGAACATAGTGGAACAGACATCTTTGTTATATGAATGGGCATCTTTTGGATATATGCCTAAGAGTGCAGTTGCTGGGTCTTGTGGTAGGTTTATTCCCATTTTTCTGAGGAATCTCCATACTGCTTTCCAAAGTGGCTGAACCAGTTGGCACTCCCACCAGCAATGGAGGAGTGTCCCCCTTTCACCACATCCTCTCCAGCATAAATTGTCATTGGTGTTTTTGATTTTAGCCATTCTGACAGGAGTGAGATGGTATCTCAGAGTTGCTTTGATTTGCATTTCCCGGATGGCTAAGGATGTTGAGCACTTTCTCAAGTGCCTCTCAGCCATTTTAGACTCCTCTATTGAAAACTCTCTATTTAGTTCTGCAGCCCACTTCTTAATTGGGTCCTTTGCTGTTTTGGAGACTTGCTTCTTGAGTTCTTTGTAAATTTTGGAGATCAACCCTCTGTCAGATGTGGGATTAGTGAATATTTTTTCCCATTCTGTGGGCTGCCTTTTTGTCTTGCTGACTGTGTCCTTTGCCTTACAGAAGCTTCTCAGTTTCAGTAGGTCCCATTTATTAATTGTTGAGCTCACTGTCTGTGCTACTGGTGTTATGTTCAGGAAGCTGTCTCCTGTACCAATTCTTTCAAGGGTACCACCCACTTTCTCTTCTAAGAGGTTCAGTGTGGCTGGATTTATGTTGAGGTCTTTGATCCATTTGGACTTAAGTTTTGTGCATGGCGATAAACATGGATCAATCCGCATTTTTCTACATGCCAGTCTCCAATTATGCCCCAGCTGAGACTTCTTAAGTGTTTTAATTTTGAGGAACTAAGATTTGTCAAATGCTATAAGCAGGAAGTTGGCCCCAAAGTCAACCACAGAAGAGCACGTGATCTGCTGTGAAGTTCCATGACAACATGAGTTGGTTACCAATAGAGCAGGCATAACCAGCACAGTTGAGATGTGAGAGACTGGCCGGGCGTTGGTGGCACACGCCTTTAATCCCAGCACTTGGGAGGCAGAGACAGGAGGATCTCTGTGAGTTCGAAGCCAGCCTGATCTACAGAGCTAGTTCCAGGACAGCCTCCAAAACAATACAGAGAAACCCTGTCTCAAAAAAACCAAAAAAAAAAAAAAAAAAAAAAAAAAAAGATGTGAGAGACAATTCAAATTGACGGCAGTGCTAGGTCCCGGGAGTTGGAGTGAGGGTGAAGAAGTTTTGCACTTGAAGCGTCAATTTTGGTGACATCAGTTTATTACTCTGTTTGTCAACTTGAGCAGTAGATTATGTGGAGGCAATGGATCTTGTTATTTTGCAGGGACTTCAAATCTTCTCAACTTTGAAGTACACCTACTGCTCATCTTCCTCCCATTGTGGGTTTTTTTTTTTTTTTTGTGGTTATTGTCTACTATACAAAAACCTCCAGTTTTTTTTTTTCCTGGTTGGATTGGCCAGAATTAAGTTAGCAGTTTTTCTTTATTTCTGTATGATTTACTTTACTCAAACTTCAATTTACTTTACTCACACTCTTTTTACTTGACAAATTGGGACTATATATAAACAGAGTATGGAAATGGCTTCTAAATGCTAACTAAAGTGTTTTTTTTTTTTTTTTTAAAGATTTACTTTTGTTTTCTTTTGGTTTTCCAAGACACTGTAGCTTTGGAGCCTGTCCTGGAACTTGCTCAGTAGACCAGGCTGGCCTCAAACTCACAGAGATCCTCCTGTCTCTGCTTCCTGAATGCTGGGATTAAAGACATGTGCTGCCACCGATGCCACACCTGGCTAATTTTACATTTTATGTATATGCCTGCATGTATGTATGTGGACCACGTGTGCCTGAAGACTGTGGAGGCCGGAAGATGGCATCAAACCCCCGGAATTGGAGTTATAGACAGTTGTGAGCTGTCATGTGGGTGCTGGAATCTGAACCTAAGAGTATCCTGTGCTAAGAAGTGACGTTTTGAAGATCCTTCTGGGTTAAGCCTTCTAAGAAAAAAAAAAAAAAAAAAAGACAAGGCAGAATCCTTGTGTTCTGAGAGTTTTGTTAGTTTGTTTTATTTTTGTGTCACTGTCTTGAGTAGGGGAGGGCTTTGGGGACATTTACCTGGTTTATTAAAGCAGCTGGAGAAGAATATCAGTGGTTTTTCTCCATTTTCTGGGAGTTCATAGGCCAGGCTTGTACAGTTCAGACTTCTAGCTGACAGTACAAGACTGTATAGAACATGTCCCAACAGTGTGTTTGGACAATAAAGAAAATACTACAGGAGGCGAGGGAAGAGAGCACTCAAGGGGATTATTGTGAGCCGTAGGAACTCAATTACCTGTGCTTGCACTAATGTTCATTTTATGTGTGGTGTTTTCCTTCTGTCCTTGTCACTGGCATATGTCCTGAGAATGAAGGGACATTTGAAGGGAAGGGAAAGTCCAGGAAGTCAGTGTAGTTTTAGTATCTTTGGTTGCTATGCAACCTGGTTTCTAACAGCAGTCCAGCTGTTAATGCTACAAATTGTCAAGCAGAGTTTTCATTTTACTGGGGTGCTTGACTTCTCAGATTCTTCTTATTTGGTGTCTCCAAATTTAAGACCTAAAGTTCCAGTATTAATAATAAACATTCTTTATATTATATAGTGATGATTTTGTTACTCCCAATTATAATACGACTTTTTAGAAAAAAGAAAAAGAGATTGCTTTTCATTTGGGTAAAATCGTCATCATTATATATCCCTTGGTATATCTTACCATGTCTCTGTGGGGTTTAACTGTGAACTGTGATTGTTTTATAGCTTATCCCTCTTTCTCTTGTGAATAGACACACACATGCGCTCTCTCTCTCTCTCTCTCTCTTCGTGTATGGGTGTGATGAGTGTTTTGTCTACGTGTGTGTCTGTGTACCACTTGCATGCCTGGTTCCTGAGGATAGAAGAGGGTATCAGATCCCCTGGAGCTGGAGTTACAGACAGTGGTGAGCCACCATGTGGGTGCTGGGGATCCTCTGGACGATCAGGAAGTATTCTTCACAGCTAAGCCAAGTCTCCTGTCCCAGGGTATATTAAGTTATTTATTAAACATTCCTCTAACACGTTCCATGGACTTATGGTGCAGTTATTTAAGTTCCCTCATATTGGATGCTCATTTAAATTGTATCTGATTTCTTTTACTATGTCAGTAGCTCATTTTTTGAGACTCTGATATTTTTTGAGGATTATACACTTACGCTGTTTTCTTGTTTTGAATCTATGTTATTATTCTTACGAAAATGGATTCCATTTCATGTTTTTATCAGGAGATTGCTTGTGTTAGTCCTAGCTAGAAATAATAATTTTTTTACATGAGAAATTACTTTCCATGCATTGAATAGAATGAATTGAAATGTTTGCAGGGTGTTTCACTAATTTGTATTGTGTTTCTCTCCAGCCCTCATGTAGTCAAATATTATGGCAGCTACTTTAAGAACACAGACCTGTGGATCGTTATGGAGTACTGTGGGGCTGGCTCTGTATCGGATATCATTCGGTTACGAAACAAGACGGTAAATTTACCTCCTAGAAGGGGCTGCTGGTCTAGTATTTTTGTCGTGTTTTTCTTAGGCATTCTACACATAGGCTAGTGATAGGAAAGTGGTACAGGATCTTGGAAGGCAGAGCAGCAGGAGCAGCATCTCCTGAAGGGACACTGTGGGTAGGAACCAGCCAATGTGAAGACTCGAGACTGCAGTGTGTTTGGTATGTTTGGTGTTGGAAGTGCAGCCACTGAGACGGGATTAGACAAAGGGAACTTGAGGAGGTCTAACTTGAGTTAGACAGGTGGGCAGGCTTGATGGCTTTGGGTCTTGTAGGTCAGAGTACTGTGGCTAAGTGTTACTGCAGATACAGAAGGAACATGTCTAGATTCTAAGAAAGTGAGTCATCTGACACGAGATTTGAAAAACAATTCTAGTTTCTGTGTAGGTTGTTAATGGGAAATTTTAGCTCTTGGGTGGTTTTGATTTTGGTTGTAAGAATGGGAGTGGGCATCCCCATGTTAAGTATTTGCAATGTAAAAATTATCTTAAGTATGCAAAAGTATATTGTAAATCATGAAGTATTATATAAGTTATAAGATGGGACTCTTTTGAAACTCAAGTTATGAATTTTGTATCATATCATTTTCTTAATTTATGTTATTGAGAATTTGTATGTTTTCTTTATTAGACAGTAGTAAGTTCTTTAGCCAAGAATAATGTTCTAACATAATATATATTTCTGGTACCAAATGGTTAGCCCTGAAAACATGTATACAAGTAACAGCATACAGATGGAGTAGGTTATATTTATGTATTAGGAATATATATATATATATACATATATATATATATATGAATGTAACAACAATCATAAAAGAGTCCATGAATTTGAAAGAAAGCAAAGACTGGGAGGCTTTGGAGAGGAAAAGAAGGGAGAAGATGATATGATTATAAGCTCAAAAAATGAAATAAGTAATTTAAGAGAAGTCGAAAGCTTGACTAATTTGTTGATTTAAAATTGAAGCTGTAGGCTTTGTATGTAGCACCAAATTGTTTCTGCCCCCTCATCAGTCCAGAATGAACTGTACTGGTGATGTCTGTACCTATTGATATCTTAATACTAGTTTATTAGTTTATGTTCTTAATTATTAATTATTTTGCTATATGTTAAAAACTATTTAGTGTGACAGCCTCTAGCCACAGGGGTCTAGAGTACTGTTTAAATTTAAAGGAATATGACCACAGAAAGATATAAAAACTTTAAATATTTATCATGATAGAACCTGTCTCAAAAAAATGATCACGGTAGAATGATGATAGCTGTGTTAAGTGAGGTTGCCCAGAGACCACATGCTGTCTCTGATGTGGGTCTGTTCTGAGGTGGATCTTAGCTTCTCATGTTTTATAAGTGCTATCCACATGGGGTGGGGAAACTAGAAAAGAGCCCACGAGAGGGGGAAAAGTTTACTTTAAGCAGAAAATTACTGTATAATTAAATCTAAGTAGATGTTAGCTGTATTTAAAAGCTAAAGAAGTCACGATGGGTTGGGCTAAGGTCTGACCACCTGTGAGAGAGTTTAAATCCCCGATTATGTTCTTTTAGGAATTGCTGTTCACGTTTACTTGCAGGCACATCTCCTTTTTGGAGCGTCAGTGCTGCTGCTGAGGTGGCATCTGGTTTTGTAGGTTTCTAATGTTGAACTGCTTCCATTGGGGTTCATTTTTGCTCTCGTTTTGATGCTTTCCGTCATTTTTAGTTCTCATTATGCAAATTTAAATCTTAGAATAAAAGTAAAAGAAAGTAGTGCCAGAAGTACAAGCTGGGTCTTGCCCATGCTGGATCTTTTTGTCCACAGCTTACTCCTGAATGTGTGTTGTTTACCATACTGGGAGTTAGTGAGAGCTGGATGGATTTTGTGCAGGATTTGGGTGTGATCTGCAGAGTCAGCACACAGCCACTCTAGCCTAGTGGTTCTCAACCTTCCTAATGCTATGACCCTTTAATACAGTTCCTCACATTGTGGTGACCCCCAGCCATAAAATTATTCCGTGGCTACTGTAATGTCTCCACTGTTATGAATTGAAATGTAAATATCTTGACCCACATTGTTCTAGAGCTATTTCATTGTCCACTCTTGATGCTTGGGATAAAAAAATAAGCAATAAAAGGCATTTTCCAATGGCATGTGTAGCTGTAATAAGGAAGCCTGCGGAGTATGTCAGGTTGTCTCTTTGCTGACAAGGTGAGATAATGGAACAGAGAATGACCAGGCACGGAGAAGGAAGGGCCTCTGCTGTTCCGATGAGCAACATTTGGACAGACAGTGAAGAAAGCCAAAGCCCAGATGTGTGGATGAACAGGAGCCTTAGAGGAGAGGGAATAGTCAGGTGAAAGGAGTGAGAAGGACTGGAACTTTCAGGAAACAGCATGGCTGATGTGCAGTGTAAACAGGGTTGAAACTTCTTATTGTTTTTTGTTTTTCAGTTAACAGAAGATGAAATAGCTACAATATTGCAATCAACTCTTAAAGGACTAGAATATCTTCATTTTATGAGAAAAATACACCGAGATATCAAAGCAGGAAATATTTTGCTCAACACAGAAGGCCATGCAAAGCTTGCAGATTTTGGAGTCGCAGGTCAACTTACAGTAAGTGGAAATGGTGACTGGTACCAGTACTTCAGGCAGTGCCCCAGAATGCAATTCCATTGAGTGATTGATTTTACTTGTGTGCGTGTGTGATGTTATGTGGTGTGTGTGTGTGTATGAGAGAGATAGAGATAGATAGATAGATAGATAGATAGATAGAGAGAGAGAGAGAGAGAGAGAGAGAGAGAGAGAGAGAGAGAGAGAGAGAGAGAGAGAGAGAGAGAGAGAGAGAGAGTGTGCTCATGTGTATTCCTGGGGGTGAATATTTGTGTTGTGTGGAAACCAGAGTCCATGTTGATTGACTGCTTTCTTAGTTGTTCTCCTCCTGACTTCTGTCTTTCACTGACCTGGAGGTCATTGACTCAGATAGTGCGCTCCAGGAGTCTGCCTGCCTCTGCCTCTGCAGGTTGAGATTCCAGATATGTGCTGTAGCAACTGCCTGGCTTCTTGTGTGGAGCCAGAGAGTTGTGCTCAGGTTCTCATGCTTACATGGCAAATGCTTTACCGACTGAGACGTCATCCAGCCCCTACTTATTAAAAAACAAACAAAAAATACTTGATTTAATTGTGTTAGTACAAATTTGTAGAATTTACAAGTAGATTACCAAATAGGTAATAGGAGTTTTAGGTCTTTTCTGGGGTTCAGGTTCATGGTTTAACTTATGCCTATAAAGATGGAAACTAACATAAGACACTAGTATTAATTTAAATCTAATATGTCAAGGACATAAAAGGAAGGCAGAGAGAACCAGGCTGCTCTCCTTCAGCAAGGCAGAGACTCCCATCCAGCCCGCAAGCAGTCCAGTCACCACACTGGAAGCACTCCTGCTTGCTTCGGGTTGGCTCTTGATTTCCCTTCTGTCTTGCTTGCGCTTGCCTGTGACAAAGCTGTTCAAAACAGGAGGACTAGAATTATTTTGTAAAATAACCAACCAAATGTAAAAGTCTGTAGAAAAGTGGAAACAGTTTTATATAGATAAACATGAATCTCCAACAATATCATGCCAAGGGCTCTCTTGGTGACCAGTGAATATTGTATGCTTCACTATCCCTTCTCCCCAGCTACAAACTATTTATTTTATTTTATTTTTTTGAGATCAGGTTTCACTGTGTAGGCCTGACTGGTCTAGAACTCTCTATGTATACCAGTCCAGGCTGTAGATATGCCTGTCTCTACCTCTCAACTACTGAGATTTAAGGGTGTATGCCATCATGCCTGTCTCTTACTTTTTTTTTTTTTTTTTTGGTTTTTCGAGACAGGGTTTCTCTGTATTGTTTTGGAGGCTGTCCTGGAACTCACTCTGTAGACCAGGCTGGCCTCGAACTCACAAAAATCTGCCTGCCTCTGCCTCCTGAGTGCTGGGATTAAAGGTGTGCACCACCATTGTCCACCACCTATCTTACTTGTTAACTTTTGGTGATGTCCAGTTTCTTTTGTCGCTTCTGCTTCTGGTGCTTTAGCTAAGAACTTGTGACCTTGTGCAAGATCTTATATGTATTTAGTGATTTAGTTAATTTTTATTCCATGAGATAGGTATCCTGATATATTCTTTTGTGTATTGATAACTGGTCATTAGCCATTCATTTCAATCATTTGTTTGTTGGGGAAGTCCTGTGCATTTGTCAATAAAGCACTGTCTGGCCAATAGGGAATCTAGTTATGATAAGAGATAAGCTACATATAGGACTTTGGACTCACAAGAATGAGATAGATGATATTTTCTTTAAATCTTGCTAAATGTTAATAGACAAAATGTTGTAACTGTTCTTACTTGATAACTGTTCTGTTATATATAATTTGACTATGCTAAAGTTAAGACCTTTCTTTTTGTTTAAACAGAAAAGAGGAGATGTTGGGGAAGTCCTGTGCATTTGTCAATAAAGCACTGTCTGGCCAATAGGGAATCTAGATAGGTAGGACTAGGAGTCCAGGAGGACTCTGGGTAGGAGACACACAAGGAGATTCAAGATGTAACCACTATGGGGTAGGAAGCCCACAACTATTCTCCAGTAAGAGACATACTTAGATTAACAATTATGGGGTGATTACTTAAGTCAGAGCTAGCCAGTAAGAAACAAGCAGGGCCAACAGCTTCATAATTAATATAGCCTCCTGTGTGTTTATTTGGGACTGATGCGGCTCTAGAACCAGGCTGGCGGGAAGGATTCTCTCAAGGAAAAAGCTTCTCTTTACAATTTGTTGATAAGCCTTTAGCTTTTCTTTTGTTGAATTATGTATTGATACTTGCTGATAATCAAGTATGGGTTTATTTATGGTACTTTGGTGTATTCTGTAGGCCTGTATGTAGGTCATTATTTCAATACTTCAGTGTCTTGATTTTTACAGCTTTGGTTAAACGTGAGACCTTCAACCTTGTTCTCCTCTTTCAAGACTGTTTTGGTTCTTCTGGGATCCTGTGTTTCTCTCTGAGTTTTAGATTAGTGGTTATTTTTGCAAAAGAGATCATTGGGATTTTGGTAGATACTGCATTGAGTCATAAATCAGTGCTTTTTTTTTTTTTTTTTTTTTTTTTTACGAGACAGGGTTTCTCTGTATTGTTTTGGAGGCTGTCGGTCCAGCCCAGCCTCGAACTCACAGAGATCCGCCTGCCTCTGCCTCCTGAGTGCTGGGATTAAAGGCGTGCGCCACCACCGCCCGGCCATACATCAGTTTTTTTTAACAATAATATTTATTATGTATGCAGTATTTTGCCTGCATGTATCCCTGCAGGCCAAAAGGGGGCACCAGATCTTGTTATAGATGGATGTGAGCTACCATGTGGTTACTGGGAATTGAACTCAGGACCTCTGGTGGAGCAGTCAGTGCTCTTAACCTCTGAGCCATCTCTCCAGCCCATAAATCAGTTTTAAAAATGTTACCATCTTAGTATTAAGCCATCTAATTCATAGATCCAGGATGCTTTTGCATTTACTTACATTTTTCATCAATATTATCATTTGTACAGTAAGCATTTTCAGTTAATTTGATTAGTTCATTGTCTAGTGGTTTGTTCTTTTTGATATTACTTTAAGTAGAGCACTCTTGTTTTCAAATTATTCATTGTTAGTGAATGTGGGTATGGTTGATTTTTGTATATTATGTCCTGCTACATTGCTGAACTTATTTATTGGTAGTTTTCGTTTTTAAAAGCTGTGTGTATGCATTCCTGTGTATGGTTGTAGGTTGTGAGTCCTTGACTTTTACCTTGTTTAATGTTTGAGACAGGCATGTTTGTTATTTGTGGTGCGTACACCAGAGATTCACTTGTCTCTACCTCTCGTCTCCCAGTAAGAGCACAGGGATTGCAGATGGCCTCCCGAGCCTGGCTTTCACTGTGTTAGACCTCAGGACCTTAGACCCTTTACTGTCTCTAGCTCCTATTGGTCACCTCTATACCCCTTCCCCCCAAAAAGCAAGAACCCTCAAACTTCTGCCGTGAACATGCTTTATTTTGCTAAAGAAAACAAAAAGTTTTTCTTTTTCTTTTTTAACTCAGAGTGCAACTGTTGTCTATAAAGAATCATCTGGGCTTCCAGTACTACTATGTTAGGGTCTTCTTTGACTGGCTTTCTACCAGACTGCAGCCCTCTGGCTGCTTTCTGGAAAGTGGTAGGTAGTGATGGTGAGGGTGGCTTCGCAGTTAGTATAGAAATGCTAGCATTATTCTTGATTCACAGTGTTCCCCCAACTTCACTGTTGGGGATCTTCAGTTTTTCTCTCTAGGGAGTGTGTATCCAGCTAATGCAGACAAAGCAAGGGAAGCCCTTTTCCTTCACGTGAGAGCTGCTTCATCTTATGTAGTTCATTTTAACAAATGTTGTATTTATTTTTATTTTTGAGGCAGGGTCTTACCTTGTAGCAAGATTTGCCTGGAGCTTGCAGTATAGACCAGGTTGACCTCAAACTCAGGCAGATTTGCCTGCCTCTGCCTCCCAAGTGTTAGGACTAAAGGCATGTGCCACCACAGCTGTCTTTATTATTTTTGTTTATGTGTATGCATGTATTCTGTAATGGGTACATTCATGTGAGTGTAGGTGCCCTTGGGAGAGTGGTCACCGGTGTCAGAACCTTGTGGAGCTGGAGTAACAGGTGTTTGTGAGCTGCCTGATGTGGCTGCTGGGAGGCAAACTCAGGTCTTCTGACAGTAGGGAGTGCTCTTAGTTGCTGAGCCCTTCCTTTAGCCATCTGTATATATTGATTATTTTTGTGAAAGGACTTTTCAGTACAGCCTTGGCTGGCTTGGACCTCTTGGTTCCCTTGCTTTAGCCTCCTGAATTCTGGAATTAGATGTCTTGCTGTCTAAATCCTCCCGAGTCCTTCAATCCAGGGTTGTTTCGAGGACCTCTTTTCTCATTCTCAATGCCAGCAGTTTCTAAGCCATTTGGAAGGGTCTGTGCAGGCATTGGGCTGCTCCAGTTTTCCCAGTGACTGACTCAAGTGTCCATTTGATTGTCCGCTCAGTCAGCCGTCTGCTTCCAGCTCACCGAGCTTCGTGGCTTTGCTTTGCATTTTCAGATGGTTTTGGGAAGAAGTGAAAATAAGATGTATTTGTTCAGTCTACCATCGTTAGCAGAAATCTGCAGTTAGTTTCTTTTTCTGCTTTGGAGACAGTCTCCTGTAGCCCAGACTGGCCTTAGACTCCATCCTTCTTGCACACTGGGTGCTCGCTGGTGTTGTTTTCTAAGTCCCACCACAAGGTCCTCCTGTGGTAAACATAGGATGCTCACATTTTAAAGCATTTCTTTGATTTTTTCCTTAGGAAAGTGCCCTGTACTTTTCTTTCTTTCTTTCTTTCTTTCTTTCTTTCTTTCTTTCTTTCTTTCTTTCTTTCTTTCTTTCTTTCTTTCTTTCTTTCTTTCAGATGTGGTCTTACTGTTGTAGGCCTGGCTGGCGTGGAGCTTGCTGTGTAAAACAGGCTGGCTCAAACTCACATGCACTCCTGCCTCTGCCTTCCAAGTGTGTGCATCATCATTCCCGGCTTCCTCCCTCCCCTTCCCCCTCCCTTCCCCTCCCCTCCCCTCCTTTTTAGGCACAGTCTTGTACTGTAGCTGAGGCTGACCTGGAATTCCCTGTAGCCTGGCCTTCCTGCCTCAATCTCTTGAGAATGCTTGGATTACAAGTGTAAACTAATACCCGTTGAAAAAATGTATTTGTTGGTTATAAGAGATGGTTCAGATGGTAACAGCACAAACTTGCAAGCCTGACAACCTGAATTCCATCCACCGGGCTCATGGCAGAGGGGAAAACTCACTCCAGTAGTTGTCCTCTGATCTCTGCAGGCTCAGATTCTCCCCTCCTCTCCCTCCCCTTCCCTCTTCTCTGCCTTTTCTCCCTCTCCTCTCCTCTCCTCTCCTCTCCTCTCCTCTCCTCTCCTCTCCTCTCCTCCTCCTCTCCTCTCCTCCCCTCCCCTCCCCTCCCCTCCCTCCCCTCCCCTCCCCTCCCCTCCTCTCCCCCTCGTTAGAAGGGTAAATCCAGAACTAAGAACTAAGACATTGTTAAATTGTTCCTCCTTTGCCGTGGTTGAAACGGCTCCCTTTGCTAGTTTTTTGATATGGGTTTAAAAGACACAGACACCTCAAATTTGTATTTTAAAGATTTGTGTGTTTGAGTGTAGATGGCTGTGGAGGCCAAAAGCAGGCCTTGGAGTTACAGGTTGTTGTGAGACACTGTACATGGGTGCTGGGAACCAAATTCAGGTCCCCAGAAGACCAGGGAGTGCTCTAACCATTGAGCCAGCTCTCCTGCCCCTTACTTTCTGAATTTTATGTAGAACCCTTTGGATTTTTGTCTTCAATGTTCTGTTCCAGCATCATATAGCAGTTCATCTATACTTTCAGAATTCCTCTGGGTTTTGTTTTCTTATATTTGAGGATTATCTTTATTTGGTAAAAACATAAGGTAGGAATTTAAGTTTAGAGTTTTACAGATGGCTACCTAGCTTTTAGTGCTTTTCTTTATGGGTGTCATTATGTAGTATTGACTGATCTAGAACCTTGATGTTTACCAGGTTGGCCTTGAATATTAAGAGATCTGCCTCTCTCAACCCCCAAATGCTGGGGTTAAAGGCATGCACCATCATATTTGGCCAGTGCTTTGTAGTTTTGAGATATTTTGTTTTTGGTATGCTAGTTTGAAAGCATTTTAAGTTGTCCGTGGCATATGAATCTGACTGACTTTTGATTGTGTGCATATTTAGGTATGTGTGCCAGGTTTTCTCTCTGGATTTAATGCTCTTTGTTGCTCTCTTGTACTCTGTAACCTTGTAACTTAGGTCTAATTGGAGTTTAGGATACACTGGTCACTTAATTTTCAAAACATTTTCCATTATGTGAGTATCCATTTCTGGTTGAAATCTAGTAAAAACAACTTTGGGTATCACCATTTGAAAACATCCTGGCAAGTTTGAGGTTTCAGAGCTAAGGAAATGTTAATCCCAAGTTGTTTCTTTTGTGTGTGTGTGTGTGTGTGTGTGTGTGTGTTTTACTTCATGTACTTTGGTGTTTTGCATACATGTATGTTGTGTGAGAGTATTGGATCCTCTAAAACTGCCATGTGGGTACTGGGAATTGAATCCAGGTCCTCTGGAAGAGCAGCCCATGCTCTTAACCATTGGGCACCCCCCCTTCATTGTTTTTTTTTTTTTCTTTCTTATATACGATGGGCAGTGTCAGATCAGTTCAGAAGTGCCACCTGTCTTTGCTCCCAACTGATGTGATCTAAGTCACAAGCACTTCAGGAGTGTGGGACTAGGAAGGCTCTTGTGCATCTTTGCTTGAGTTTGGAAGTCCTCTCCCTAAGGTTGTAGCAAGGCTCTCAGAAGGACCAAGCAATTAGTGTAGTGTGTGCTGTAGCTGAGTATCCTTCTTCAAACTACAGGTCAAACCTGGTACCATGTTTATATCTAAGCTTTTAAAATGATTTTTCCAAGTGCACAATTGAACCCAGGGAGTTACATAAGTCTGTAAGACAGAAGACAAATGAGTAATTCTGCCTTCTAGGTGTGACTGTTATTAATAATGTTTATTGCTCTGGGCTGGTTTTTCTTCTACACAGGGTGGTTTCTTTTTAATGGTTGTTGCATTGTCATGATTATCATTTTGTTTTTCACAGAAATAAAGCTGTGTTATTCATCATTTTGTAAACTGCTTTTTGTGTGTGTATGTGTTGTAATGTTTTACACATCTTTCATGCTTATTTCTGTTTGAAATAGGGGCTTGCTATGTAGTCTTGGTTAGCCTCAAACTTAAGATTCCCCTGCTTCTGTCTCTCATGTTTAATGTACTAGGATTATAGGTGAGTGTTCACCATGCCTGCCTCTTAGAGAACTTTTAATGTAGCATTTCAGCATATGGGTATCTATTGTAATATTTATTTATTTATGTTTTTCGAGACAGGGTTTCTCTGTGGCTTTGGAGGCTGTCCTGGTACTAGCTCTTGTAGACCAGACTGGTCTTGAACTCATAGAAATTTGCTTGCCTCTGCCTCCCAAGTGCTGGGTTTAAAGGCATGCTCCACCAATGCCCAGCCTTTTTTTTTTTTTTTTTTAAGGCAGGGTCTCATTGGGTAGCCCTGCTGTCCTGGAACTTGCTATGTAGACCAAGAAAACCTTGGAGTTACAGACAGTTGTGAGCTGCCATGTGGTTGCTGGGAATTGAAACTGGGTCATCTGGAGGAACAGCCAGTGCTGTTAACCTCTGAGCCATCTCTCCAGCCCCCCCATTTGAATTTCTTTAGTGACTAGTCTCATTATGCCTCGAGCATTGTTTTTAGGTATGTTTCAAGAAGAAGGCATTCATTCTTTTTCCTTTTTTAATGTTGGTAGTTGATCCTTCAGACTTTCATACAATACATTTGAATCATATTTTTCTCCTCTTCTCTGTCTTTAAAAAAAGGAGAGAAATCAAACAAGCACACACAATTAGAAAACATGGAGTTCAGTTTGTGCTGCTGTCTCCCCTGAGCTTGAGGCCTTCCCTGGCGCATGGATGACACACCCAGTGTCACTTCCCTGGCGCATGGATGACACACCCAGTGTCGCCCCATTGAAGAGAGCCGAGTTCCCTCCTCTCAGCAGCTGCTATTTGCAAATAGCTTCGTGGCCAGGGGTGGGACTTGTTCTGACTTTTTGCATGTTGTCTAGCTGTGGTGGGTCTCTGTTAACTGTAGCAGCTTCTCTGGCAACGGTCTAGTGATGCACTGGTCTTCAGATCTAACAGACGTCGTTGCTGTATGTGTCCATGAGGACTTGTTCATTGCTGTGTGTGTCCATGTGGCAGAGTAAAGGAAATGTTCCCCTGGGGCTGATGACCTATCTACTCTTAGGTTCTCGGCCTCACTAACAGTATCAGGTATGGATTCCATCTCATAGAGTGGGCCTTAATTAAATCTAAGCAAAGTGTAATTGGTTTCTCTCATGAAAGTTGTGCCACTCTTGTACGACTGGGCATAAACAAAGCAGTTTCAATTTTCAAACATTTTCTTCTTCTCAGTAGTTTTCATGCTTTGTGTTGGTCTTCTCCTTTCCATTTTAGGACACCATGGCAAAGAGGAATACAGTGATAGGAACACCGTTTTGGATGGCCCCTGAAGTTATTCAGGAAATTGGGTACAACTGCGTGGCAGACATCTGGTCTCTGGGAATAACCGCCATAGAAATGGCTGAAGGAAAGCCCCCATATGCTGATATCCACCCAATGCGGGTAAGGAAGCAACCAGTTGGATGACTAGTTACTGGTTATCAGTAGAAAGTGACTTGACATCTTCCTTGCTTATATTCCAAACAGGAAATGAGCTAGTGTTATATAATGATAAATGCTACTGTATTCTTCCCCTGGCATTAAATGCAGTCAATCATTAATTTGAATCTAGTCCATTTTTCATTCTAGAATGTGTGTCTTGATAGTCTCCTTGAAAGACATAGGCAAAAGAAATGTGTAGATTGACTTACATATTATATACATGATATATGCTTTTAATAGCGTAGATAACTACATTTTTAGCTTTGTGACTATAGGCTTTCTGCTGAATCATGTTCTGTGACTCCCCATTGGGTCACTAGATGTCAGATACCACTTACTACCTGTCTTCTTCAGTGTGCTTTTGCGCTTACAGCACTAACCCCCCCCACCCCACCCCCGTTTTGTTCATAGATTGTCTTTTTCATGCTTGATCTCTGCAGGTGTTTTGGTTTGTGAATCCTCAGACTCTGTCTGGTGGCTGTTTTCTCTCCAGTCTGCATCCTATGTCCAGCGTTATGACTCACAGGCCACACCTCCCACACCCTCAGTGCTGATACCCTGGGGAGTTCCCAGGCTTCACTCATTCCAAGAACATACAGTTCTGTTGAAAGGCCCTACCAGTGGCTCCACAGCCTTCCCCACCTTCACACCGTTCTTCCTTGTATCTAATTAACTCATTCTTTCGCTAAAAGACTCTGTCTGTCTGTCTGTCTGTCTGTCTGTCTGTCTCTATCTATCTTTTGGTTTTGCTTGGGACAGGGTTTCTCTGTGACTTTGGAGCCTATCCTGGAACTTGATCTGTAGATCAGGCTGGCCTTGAATTTTTAAAAAGTATGACTAGCCGGGCGTTGGTGGTGCACGACTTTAATCTCAGCACTTGGAAGGCAGAGGCAGGTGGATCTCTGTGAGTTCGAGGCCAGCCTGGTCTATAAGAGCTAGTTCCAGGACAGCCTCTGAAGCTACAGAGAAGCCCTGCCTTGAAAAACCTGAAAAAAAAAATTGTATGACTAAAGACATCCTTTTTTTGTGGGACTGAAGAGGTAAGGAGGGAAGGGTTTACAGAGATCATATTTTTAGCTTTAAAGAATACAACTTAAACTGTCTAATGCAGAGAGTTTTTTCTCTTATAAAGTAGGGGTTTTCATCATTTAAAATTCAGCAATTAATAGTCTTTTTAAAGAAAGTTTTATTATTTTAATTGTGTTGTGCCCTTGGAAGCTAGAAGAGGATGTCAGAGCCCTTGAAGCTGGAGTTGTAAGTGGTTGTGAACTGCCTGACATGGGTGCTGGGAACTGAACTCAGGCCCTCTGGAAGAGCAGTATGTTATATTAACTACTGAGCAATCTCTCCAGCCTTTAATAATAACCTCAGTCTTATAAAGTAGAACTTTAATTGTGTTTTATTATTGTTGTTTGGTTTTTAGATTTTCTTTTTTCTGCAGAGTGAGGATTTGAGGGGATGGAAAAATAGCTTGGGGCAGAGCTCTATTTGCCACCCACAGGTCCTGCATTCAGTCCTTAGTACCACACACACACACACACACACACACACACACACACACACACACACACACACACACACACACACACACTTTGTCCTCATCCTAGACCCCACACTCACACCTTCACATGATGAAAAAAGGAATATTAACGAAAATCATATGGTGTGACTTGAGGCTGATAACTCCCTTGTGACTTTCTAGACTCCTGGTTGATGATCTTGGAGTCATCACTGATGTTCATTGGTGGCTGTGAAGGAGGGGAGTTTAACAGCTATGAGGCTGAAGTTCAGGACACAGACACTCGTAGGTAGTCTCTTTCCACACTGAAACACCTGGGTATGGTTGCCCCTTGTCCCAAAGTTGCTTGAGGCTGAAGAGATGGCTCCCTTGGTCAGGTGTTTGCCTTGTAAGCAGTTCATTCTCTATCGTCTACATAAAAAGTATTGATAATGTGTCTTTACTGGCCCAGCACTGGGAGAGAAAGTCAGGTAGATTCCTAGGGTTCCATGGCTGGCTGGCCTGCCTAATTTAGTTGTTGAGCTTTCTGTTCCAATGAGACTCAAAAACAAGATGGATGGTTCCTGAGGAGCCACACTCTTCTTATTTGGTTAGTGGTAGGGACTGAAGCTGGTTCTCATTTATGTGAGGCAGCTGCTCTACCACTGAACTACAGTCTCACTCAGGAATGACACTTGAGGTTGATCCTTGGTGTCCATGCACGCACGCACATATACTTGCACCACACCTGCATAAACATGTGCAATCCTACCCCCCCCACACACAGACATACACAAGCAAAAGGTGTTTTTCTCTTTTTCTTTCTTTTTTTTTTTTTTTTTTTTTGGCTTTGTTTGGTTTAGAACAGGACTGCATGTGGGCAAGGGAAAGGGAAGGAGAGCAGGTATCAGAGCCTGCTTTCTGTACTCCACGTGGGCACGCTTTGTTTGGATATGTGAAAAATCATTTTACCAAACCAACATAGTTATTTGTATTAGAGTGTCATTTTCATTTTGCCTTTTCTCTCTCTCTTTTTTTAACTAGGCAATATTCATGATTCCTACAAACCCTCCTCCCACATTCCGTAAGCCAGAGCTGTGGTCAGACAGCTTCATGGATTTTGTGAAGCAGTGTCTGGTAAAAAGCCCTGAGCAGAGAGCCACAGCCACTCAGCTCCTACAGGTATGCGTCACCTCTCCGTGCCATTCACATGCTGTTAAGTCACTTGCTTGGACTTAGGAAGGAAGTATAAGACATTGTTGTGCAAGGGAGGTTTAAAGCTATTGAGATAGAATGGCGTAGGAAGTACTTGAAGAGCATAAAGTAACATAAGGAAGGGCATCATGAATGAGTTTAGATTTAAGAGCAGTAAGAAGCTCAGAAACATTTTTCCCACCAGGATGAGCAGAAGGTGAGTAATAGCTCAAGACTGATGTTGCATCACAACAGGCTAGATGTGCGTGTGTCCGACAAGAGTGGAAGGACATGACCTTGAATGCTTTGCAAGTGCAGAAAGCAAGGTGATATGGCATTCTTGCTAATGACCTCGCTCTTCTAAGTGTGTTGCCAAATCCGCCTAGACTAAGAGGTCTGCAGTCCCACCACAGCTTAGGCATCCTTCCATCCTTTAGAGTACTTACCAAAGGCGCGGAGACCTTTGCCCTGTTGGTGATGGGGAACAGGGGTGTGATGTCCCTGCAAGGAGGAGACGTAGGGCACTTCCAGAGTAAGTTTGGAGATATAGGCAACTCCTGCAAAGAATTTCTGTATGTAGCTTTAGCTGCTGGGGCTTCTTGATGCTCCAAGAAAGCATAAGGTGGGGCTGCTAAGTGTCTCGGGGGTAAAGGTGCCTGCCCCAGGCCTGCAAGCTGAATTCAGCCATTGGTGCTCATGTAGTGGAGACGGACTCTTTCATGAAATAAGGAAAAAAGAACCTCTAGGTGAGACCGAGAGAAATGGCACAGGTCCAAATGGTCATCTGTCTCCTTAGAGTCATGAAGTGAGTGTGGCTTACTTGCTCCAGGTGTGAGGAGAAAAATGAGATCCACTGATTTATATGCAAATATTGCCAGATTTGTATTATGTTCTATGTACTGTTTTAAAGTAAAAATTGTGTCCTTTGTTCTCCATTTTATTTAAGCATCCATTTGTCAAGAGTGCCAAAGGAGTGTCGATCTTGCGAGACTTAATTAACGAAGCCATGGATGTGAAACTGAAACGCCAGGAAGCCCAGCAGCGGGAAGTGGACCAGGATGATGATGAGAACTCAGTGAGTGGCAGGTGTTGTGTGGCTTCAGGAATAAATGCTTGTTAGGTCATGATTGCCACATGCGTGAGATAAGAAGCTAGTGTGGGGCAGCGTGGAGCCTGAGACTTCAATAGCACTTTGTCCCAAGTCTCATTCTCATTCAGTGTTGCTGCACCCTTGATGGGTCTGTGTGTGTTTGTTACTCAGTGTTTCTCTAAACACTTACATTTTACTATTTTGCCCCTATATCTTTTATCCAGTTTATCTTTTTTTTTTTTTTTTTTTTTTTTTTTTGAGAGAGGGAGGTGCAGGGAGTGGCCGGGAGTAGATATCTGTCCGTTTTGAGACTTGGTTTTCCCAAGTTCTTTTAAAATTTTCATACCATATTCTGGAGTCACTTATAACTTTGGAGATTCCAAGGGTACTTGGGTCGGTTACTTAGGTCTGTGCTAGAAGTCAAACGAGAAGGAAGAGGAAGGTCCTTTAGGCTAGGTATGCAGTTGTGACATGGGTGACTTTACAGTCATCTCTGGTTAGATATGTGCTTTTCAGCCTCTAAGGTCTGGAGAAGTGTCAAATCCGGGAATGTTTGAACCAAGATGAATAGCAGTAATTCAGAAAATTGAAGATCTTTGAACACATTAGCTCCAGTTTGAGATTTTGTTCGTTTGCAGGAGGAGGATGAATTGGACTCTGGCACAATGGTTCGAGCTGCAGGTGATGAGGTGGGCACTGTCCGTGTAGCCAGTACCCTGAGTGACGGAGCCAGCACTGTGACCGAGCACAGTGACACATTGCCGTCCCAGCTGGGAACCATGGTGATCAACACGGAGGACGAGGAAGAGGAAGGAACTATGAAAAGTGAGTCTCTGACACACTAACTGATAAGAAGATGGGGTCTCTGGCCATGCCGTCTTAGTCTTGGGTCTGTTGCTCTGTTGCCTGCTATAGCTGTGTGCCTTACAGGAAGAGATATGCTCAGTAGGAGGCTGTGTTGGAGGGCTGTGTGGAGTAGGGGATTGTGGGAAGGAATTTGCTTTTGAACTCCAGTGACTGTCCTCTTATTGAATGTTGTCACCGAAGGATTCTCCTGGAGGAGGGCATGCACATTGTTTTAATACATAATTCATCTCAATTCGCAATGGAATTTGAAATGCTGTGCATATCTTCAGTCCATTTTCATGATAGTGTGTGTTTAACCAAGACAGTCAGTCAAAGAGGATTGAGCAGGCTTAAAATTCTGTCAAGTCTCTTCTGAAGAATTCTCCCCCCTTCCCCCTCTTCCTTTGCCCCTCCCTCCTGCCCTCCATCCCTGCTGTCTTTTTCTTCTCTCTCCTTTCCTTCCTCCCTCTACTTTGCCTCCCCCCCCATTTTTTTTTGCTGGCGATCAAACCCCTGAGCCTCACACATGCTAGGCAAGTGCTCTACCACTAAGCTACACCCCATCACTGCTTCTCTTTTGCTTCTGTATGTTGCCCAGGCTTCTCTTCTTTCCCTCAAACTTCTGGGCTTAAGCTGTTGTCTGTGATCAGAGTCTAGGCCTGGTGTTTCCAGGTTTTTGTCATTGTATTCAGGAATGAAATATAAGCCCACATAGATTGCAGAGTAGCAAGGTAACTACTTAGGCAAAGCGTAGGAGAGCAGTAGCCACAGGAAGGCATAGTCATTGCCTGAGGGTTCTTTTCATGATAGCCTAGAGACAGGAGGGGCTGGTTTCTAAGGGAAGTAATTTGGGTGGTTCAGTTATTTGATTGATAGATTAGTTTCTTTTTTTTTTTTTTCTTCTGGTTTTTCGAGACAGAAAACAGCCTCTGTTTTGGAGGCTGTCCTGGAACTCGCTCTGTAAACCAGACTGGCCTTGAACTCACAGAGATCTGCCTGCCTCTGCCTCCCAAGTGCTGTGATTAAAGGCTTGTGCCACCAACACCCGCGATAGATTAGTTTCTATGATCATTGTCCGCTACTGTGCATGTCTCTTTCTGTAATGCAACTGAGTTACAGGGGGAGTCCTGCCTCCCTAAAAGTTCACTTGAGGACACACTTGAGCCTAGTTGTGCATGAATCTAAAACTAGTTCAGGCCAGATTTGCCCTTCTTGTCTTGTGCTTGGACATGAGAAGCATATGACTGCATAGTGCTTGTCTAAGTTTGACAGTTGTCAAAGGGAAGAGAAACTTGTTATATTATTCAGTTAGGGTGCGTGTGTATCCTGGTTAGGTGGGTCTAGGTTGCTAGGTGCATGTTGCAGAGAGGGGTACATGTGAATCGTGAGTGAGTGCAGGTAAAGCCCTGCCCGGGCTGCCAAGTGAAAGGAGATGGAATCCCAGATTGCCGAACTGTTTCTGCCTCAAAGTGGTTCTCTTGCCCAGCATCCCAAGTAGCTAGGGTCGTAGGCATGTGTCTCAGACCTGGATTTGCCTTTCCTCTTTCCTGGCTGGTCTTTCCTATGACTGGCCTCATTCCTGTGTTCTGCTCCTGACTTAAGAGTCCTTCACTCCACCCTTTAGTGCCTGAGCTTGTAGACCAACCCCCAGAGGAAATAATTTAGAGTGCAAAATGTTATCTGAGGTGTATAGGTTCAATCTATCCTAAACTTTGCATGGGTTTAAAGACCTGGGTCTTGTTGTTCATTTTCTTTTCTTCCCTTTAGCTCTCTACTCCCATGTTAGGGATCAAACTCTGGACTCCACATGTGCTAGTCTACTGCCTCCTCACCTCAGCCTCCACTTAGGATATTTACGTCTTTCTTGTAATCCAGGGATCAGCAAACCAGCCTCTAGTTTGCTGCCTACTTTTGGTAGTAAAACTCCGCTGGAACACAGCCATAGCCATTCCTATGTTGCTTTTGGTGCCTCTGTATGGAAAAGGCTGAATGGAGTGTCTGTGAAAGACTGTTGCCTGCAAGGCCTAAAATGCTTTCTGTCTGCTTGACTGTCGAATGTGAAGCCCTGGGTTTGATCTTGAGGGAGGGTGCACGATTAAAGGGATGGAAACAGAAGTGATCAAGCAGACTGGGCTTTAAACCTAAGCAAAGGGGTCATACTGGAATGGCTTACACACAGGATCTGGACAGTCCAACAGTGACTGGCTGCAGACCGGAGAGACTGAGAACCAGACAGCTGCTCAGTCCCCAGTGCTGGATGTCTCAGCTGTCCTGAGCCTGGGAGATCCTGGAGAGTCCCTGGTCTTTAGTCTATGTTGAAAAACCCAAGAAACGGGGGTCTAATGCCAGTGGGGGCCGGCAGTGACAGTGGCTGCAACAGCAGCAGGGATGGGTGTGCCGGTCAGAAGCAGAGACAGGTTATCGAGCAAGACTTTTTCCCTCAGACCTTTCTGTGTCTGGCCTGTCAGGTGGTGCCATCCCCTCTCAGGGAGAGACTTCTCTCAGTCAGCCCTTTTTGTAAATGCCCTCACACACTGACTCATAGATGTCTCTGAGTTGATTCCAGATGCCATCAAGTCAGTGGATGAAATGAGTTCTGATACCAGGATAAGCTGAGGGTCAGAGAATGGTAGAAGGGCTCCTTGTGGAAAGCCGGCCAGCTTGGCAGCAGGCAGCAGGTGGCGGAGGTACTCCCTCCAGCAGAGGGAGCTCTTACACAAGACTCACCAAGAGCTTGGTGAGCTGAGGGACTCAGGACAGCTTCTTGTGGCTGAGAGGGACATTTGCAGGGTAGTGTTCTCACATGTCTCCTCTCCTCTTCACTCTTTCAGGCCATGGTTTGCAGGGCAATCACTAACCTCTTGTTTTCAGAGACAAAATAGTTCCTTTGTCTGGTTGAGCTCAGATTCATTATCTCTAAGGCTGTAAAGGAATGGCAATGTTATTGGTAGATTCATAAATTGATACAACTTCTGGAATGCCTTGTATATCCGGCATTTAAAAAGTTGACATATGGGACTGGAGAGATTGCCCCACAGTTAAGAGCATTCACTGTTCTTCTGGAGGACCCGAGTTCAGTTCCCAGCACCCGCATCAGGTGGTTCATAACCACCTGTAACTCTAGCTCCATGGGATCAGTACCCTTTCTAGACTTTGCAGACACCTGTACTCACACATGACCAGACCTCCTGCTATGTGAACATAATTAAAAATCAATGATCAGTATACTTTCTAGACTTTGCAGACACCTGTACTCACAAACAGACCTCTTGCTATTATATGCACATAATTAAGAATTAGTATTAAAAGAAAGGGCCAAACCTTTGACCCAGTAAAGTCCACTACTAGGAACCAGGTCCAAGAAAATAATTAAATATTATAAATAAATTATGTTCAAGAATGTTTCAAAACATGGTATTTATAGATAGAATACTGTACATATAAAACCATTAGGTACAGTCTCAGCTCTTAGCTGAAATCTGGAGAGAGTGGATGTTAACTAATTGTACTTGTCTGAAGACATATTAGTAATTCTTTTTAGTTTGTAGAGTACATGCAAGGAAGACTCTCCTGTTATTTTTCAATGAGAATTCTAGAACTTCTCTCTCTCTTTTTTTTTTTTTTTTGGGTTTTCGAGACAGGGTTTTTCTGTGGCTTTGGAGGCTGTCCTGGAACTCACTTTGTAGACCAGGCTGGCCTCGAACTCAGAGATCCGCCTGCCTCTGCCTCCCAAGTGCTGGGATTAAAGGCGTGGTGCGCCACCAACGCCCGGCTCTAGAACTTCTCTTGATCTCAGAAGTGAAGGTCAAATTCCTGTGTGAATTGTCAGTATTTGGATTGTTGTATTTCCTCTGTGCCACCAGAGGGAGCTCTGTAATAGGCTATGAATTGAAATTGTGTTCCCATTCACGTTTGCCAATGACCCTTTCTTTTTGGTTCAAGGCTATTATTTATATACCTTTAAGAATATATATGTATATTTTATTCTCTCTTATTTTATGTGTTTGGGTGTTTTGTCATGTATATATGTATGTATGTATGTATGTATGTATGTATGTATGTATGTGTACACGTGTGCTCGTGCCTGCAGGGATCAGAAAAGGCTATTGCATCTCTTAGAACTGTATGAACTTAGAACTACCACGTAGTTGCTGAAAATTGAACCTTGGTCCTCTAGAAGAGCGACCAGTGCTGTCTCAGCCGTCTCTCCATCCTCACCTTTATTATGAGTCTGTTTTGAAGTTACCACAGCAACACTAGGGCACTGCCTCTGTTTCATTTAGTTAGGAGATTGGACACTTGGCAGAGATGAAGTCTGAGTCGGCCAGAGCACCTCAGCACAGTGTCTTTTCCTCTCAGGTTTCTGGTGGACTTGGGTTGGAATTGGTTTCGTTATTCTTTAGCATGGTGCCACACATAGCTTTTAAAATGTCACCTGTTTAAGTTTTACCAACCTGTAAAGAGAAGCTTTTTCCTTGAGAGAAGCCTTCCCGCCAGCCTGGTTCTAGAGCCGCATCAGTCCCAAATAAACACACAGGAGGCTATATTAATTATGAAGCTGTTGGCCTTGCTTGTTTCTTACTGGCTAGCTCTGACTTAAGTAATTACCCCATAATTGTTAATCTAAGTATTTCTCTTACCGGAGAATAGTTCCGGGCTTCCTACCCCATGGCGTTACATTTTGACTCTCTGTGTTTCTCCTTCCCAGAGTCCTCCTGGACTCCTAGTCCCACCTATCTTGATTCCTATTGGCCCAACAGTGCTTTATTGAAATATACATAGGACTTCCTCAACACCAACCAAATGTTGGAATAAGATTTCAAAACAAAATAACTCATGTGAAGAACTGATATGGGGTTAAGTTATACTATGTGTAAAAACAAGAGTTAAAGATATTTTATAACCGTTTCTTGTTTGGTATGTCCCGGTTTTGGTCTTAGAAGTGCAGCCGCTGGAACCTCTGACCTCTAGCATGCCAG